CTGGTTCCTTGCACTTTGTTTCACATATTTTATCAATTCTTTTACTGGCTTTCCTGCCAGTTCTCTCTCCCACGAACGTCTTACAGGAAGTTCTTCATGCCTGGCAGTCCCCCATTTTGTAGTTTGTTTTTTTTCCATCCTGTTCCTGCTACTTTCTCCACTTGTAGGCTCAACTATGTAGTCAAAGCACAGAACAGATGATCACTAGCTCCAAAGGAGCCTTTCATACATGATATCCTCGATGTCCAAAAACTACTAAAGGTGAATACAAGGTCCAGTCTTGCTGGATCATCCTCCCCCCCCTCTCTCTCTGGTAGTGTCTCAAAACATGTTGATGCATGAGGTTTTTCCAGCACCACATCCATAATATTGGCTCTCCATGTTTCAGGATCCCCAGGGGGCTCCAGGTTTTCCCCAGTCAATCTCCTCGTGATTGAAACCCACCCATAACTAGTAACTTTGCTCCCCCCCCCTTTTTTGGGACTCTTCTGGCCACCTCGGCTAGTGTGTCGACCATTGCTCGTTGTTCTCATCGTATTCTTCTCTTGGCCTCCTGTAGTTCTGGGGCAGGTTCTACTTTACTGCAATTACCACCTTATGGCCCTCAGACGGATTGTTCCCCACTAAGTAGTCCCTTTTGCCCATGCCATCCATTCCTTCCATTTTCTCAAATCCCCTCTGGTTTTTAATGAGCCGTGCAATACCTCCTCCCCCTCTCCTCCTGGAGTTTGCCTGGAGAGAGTTCCGGGGGTCAATAGCCCGGTCTGTGACCAGGCCTCATGGGGGATCAGGGCCTGATCAACCAGGTTGTTACTGCTGACTGCACACAATCCATCGTATGAGCCACAGCCCCGGCTGTCAGGTACCGACTTTAGGTGCTTGTCCAGTGCCTGTTTGAAGACAGCCAGGGGTCTATTGATAATCCCCCTTATGTATGCTGGAAAGCAGTTGAACAGTCTTGGGCCCCTGACACTTATTGTGTTGTCTGTTAACGTGCTAGTGACACCCCTGCTTTTCATTGGGGGGGTGTTGCATCGTCTGCCGAGTCTTTTGCTTTCGTAGAGAGTGATTTTCGTGTGCAAGTTCGGTACTAGTCCCTCTACGATTTTCCGGATTTGATATCAGGGTGGAAAGATTGCATCTGTTATCATCCTGGTGAGTTTTGTTTCTGTGAGTGCTATTATGTCTGGGGATGTCTCCTTGATTCTTTCATGCCACTCCTCGCACTTATTTGTTATTCTGTCTGCATTTGTATACCACACCTTCAACTTCTTTTCTAAAACTGTGGTCTGGGGGGTATGTTGGGGTTAGGGAAGGGGAAGACCTGATAAGAAACTATGGGTGGTTGTTGTCGGGGTGGAGTTTGTATTGATGTGGGTGGGGGTATTGAATATGGCATGTGTGTTTTGGATTAGAATGTTTGGTTGCATTGGGGTTGTCCTGGTTGGGGGGCTTCTGTAGGTGGTTGTGAGGGAAGCTGTATTTGATCTTCCTCCTGAATCTGGGTTCTCCTGTACATCTCCATCTTCACCTCTCTTTCTTCCTTTCGTCTTTGTACCATCTCTCTATTGGTGGTAGCTTACTCTGCTGGATAATAGGATACCTGTCAAATAGAGTATCCTCTGTCTTCTACCAAGGCTTTAGAAGTGAGTCAAAAGAAATGTCTTTAGGTACACAGCAGGGAGGAGTTCTTAGTCCCATGCTATTTAATATTCTGATTAGTGCTCTCCTAAATGCTCTACCTCCTCACCTAAACATATAGCTATAAGTTATGCTGATGACATCATGATACATACAACAGGGCATAAGAAGATGAGCACCATTCTTAATGAAGCTCAAGCAATTTGTAATTGACTAGGCGTAATATCTTCCTCTAAAACAAAGATATTAACAAGCAAACGACATCCCCCACCCATCTATTTGCAGGGTGAAAACATTAGCTACGTTAAAACTTACAGATATCTTGGTGTAGATGTACCCTTTAACAAATCCACTATACCACAACTAAATAAGAAATGCAAAGATAGGCTAAATGCTCTCTAAGCTGTTGCTGGCTACAACCTCAACTATGGTGCTAATGTGAGAATCGTGAGAATGATGTACATAGCCTATGTTAGGTCCTTAATTGATTATGCTGCTCCCATGTTGATATTAGCTAGAGAAAGTTCTCTCCGACCCTTGGAGTTAATGTAAAATGAAGCTCTCAGAATTATTCTTGGGTGTCCCAAATCTACAAAGGTTCTTAATATGAGGAAGGAGCTTGGTATTTCTAGTATCAGTGATAGGATTGTTTTGAGATTAACACTGTACTTGGTATGAGAAATGGGTTAAGAAATGAACCAGACACTTTTCACAATGAATCTTACCAAGTGTTTTTGAGGTAAATATACACAGATCTAAATGGATTGGGGAAAACGTGCAATTGCATTAAGTTTTATAACCTGCATGAACTGTATCACGTAGGCATCGAGAGCAATTTCACCCCTCTATGGAAAATTGTTCATTTAATATCACATACCTGCAAGTCCCTCCCAAGAAGCTCATTGCTAGTAATCCCTTCCTTAAATCACTTGTTAAAGCAACTGTCAAGAAAAGTTTTC